TGTAGGGAGAACATGTACACTCCATACTCCAAGGTTGTGACCTTCTTGCTGTAAGGCAAGAGCACTGACCGTTCTGAACAAACAACGTATATATCTCTCTTTTCTGGTCACGTCAGCAGCTTCGTCCTGTAGCAGTGGTTCATACTGTATAAAGTACTGCAGAGGAACAACACGAGCTTCAGACCAGCCGTAAAACTGGGATTTACTGTGTAAATGTGGCAGGAAGCCTGCTTATATAAGAGGAGGCAGAGCAGCCTCCACCTCTGCTCCTCCACCCCAGTGAAACGCAGACAGGTCACTGTAGATAACTACCAGTGTAGACCTGCAGTACGTACTTTATGGACACGGGGAACGTGGTGCGATGACATCAACAGAGCCCTTTGTTTCACTAAGAGTTGTTGCGACTGAATTATTAATTGCGTTAGCGTAGCCATAAACCCTGTTTCCTGATTAGATTACAGCTCTGTTGTCTCAGACAAAATCCGACGAGGTTTCACCGCAGCTGTGCCGACTCTTGAGAGGAGTCATTATTTATAAAACGTTAAAAATACTGTTAATAAAATCGGGGCTGCTCATTTAATCCAGACGAGGGTAAAACTAGCCTTAACATCAACTATTATAGTAATTAGGGGCAATAAAAGGAGAAGTGTAACCATTGTTTTACTAAACTGGACAACGATAATAAAATTTAAAAACTAGAGAACAAGGGAAAAACATGTATAAACAAAATATACAGTGTTCTGCTCATATAAAAGAACACAGATCAGACCACAACAGGCTGCAGACGGATGTCACCCACAAACTCTGTGTGATGCAAAGAATGTTCCGGTGCATTTTTCAAAAGTGCTGTCAATAAGAAAGTGTCTCCGCCTCCTTTGGTTTATCCAGTTGTCATACAGAAGTGCAGCTTCTACACCCAACCACTGCTCCACAGCCACCAAGTGGAACCCATGTATTTTGCGTTATCCAATCAGCATCGAGCACCTTCTGTAGTCCTTTGACTGTAAGCATCAGGGTTTAATAGTGTAATAAACAAAAAAAAAGCTCGTCAGGTTTAAGCTCACTTTAGTAACCAAAAGCAAACAAAACGTTATACATTCCTTCATACATTTTTGACCCCTAGTGGTCACAAAATGTATTGTTTTGCGAGTCAATAGCCAATGTACATTTGCAAATATTTATCTGAAAATAATAAAAAAACGTGTAACAGAGAAAGTACCATGTATTTTATTTCCACACCCTCATACAGTTCAGTACAGACGTCTTACAGGTACTTCGTAGTACAGTTATTGTAACAGACTCTTAAATTATTCCACCCAAACCTGACACCGGTGAGATTTTTTTATTTATTTATTTATTTTTGTTTTCGTACCAAAAGACAAAGAGAGAAAATCAAAACCAAACAATAAATTACTGATAAGGACTCGAGCACGACAGTGGTTTGATCCAAAACAGTTTCTCAGTTCAAGTCATTTTATATTTATCTTTTTGAGAACATCTTCCTTTTTTCCTCTGCTGCGTTTAAAACTGTTCATAAAAAAAACACACAGATCCAAACGTCAAACTGCCGAATGTCTTAAAAGTTTCAAGGAAAAAAAAAAGTAATTTTTAAGTTTCAATTCTGTTTCAAGGATAAAACTAGTAATAATGGTAATAATGTGATTAGACATTACAGTTCATTTAAGAAAATAGCAAAAATGTATATTTTTCCATTATATTTTTGCAAAAATGTTATTTTGGGTTTCAATCCCAATATATCAAACACATTTCTGTCATTCATTTGTTTTTCATTTTCAAAGTGAAGCTGGGAGGCGCTCGACAGTCATTTCAAACTGAAACTCACTCTTTACTTTACAGATTAAAAGTCTCACAGGAAATATTGCAATGGAAAACAAACCTGAAAAAGAAGTTCTTTTTTCCCGTACCTGTTCTACCAGAATATAAATCCTCTGACATTCCCTCCAGGCGGAGGAGGAGTGGACGTCCCCGTGTTGACACAGTCTTTGGTTCAGCCCTGCAGACGTCACAGTAGCGTCGGACCTTTGGTCGTGTAGCTCATGGCTGGGAAGTGTCTGCTGTCCACGTCCCAGTGGCCGGGCGGCTGGTTGGAGGCGGGCGGGAGGCTGGGGTTCCAGTGGTTGATGTAACTGGCCATGAGCAGAGTCAGCTCCAGGATCTGGGGCAAGAGCAGAACCAGGGTCAGCTCAGACTGAGGATTGACTGATTTAATGGAACTATGTGATCTGAGAAGACCAACTGCTCTGAGATCAGAATTGATCCAATTATATTAAAAACAAATTCTTTAAGATTGCTTGGATTAGTGGTTTACTTTAAATTAGCATCAGTTGATCCAAAAATCTAAAAATAGTCTGAAATTAAAACAGGAATGACCAAAAAGTCTTAACAATCAAGTTACATAGAGGAACTCTTGAAAAGTACCACATATGGTACTGATACCATAGTTTAAGAACCACTGAACTATAAATGACAGTAATCCTAGGACATAGCCACAGAGGTCTACCTTTGGTTTAGCCATTCCAAAGACCAGCTTCTCCACGCTCTTCTTGCCGACTCCAGGCTCCCTCTGCTGGCTGCTTACCACAATGAAATCGTCCCTGCAGCCCCCGAAGGTGATGACAGACTGGTAGGAGAAGGTCAGCAGCGTATGCTGGAAAAACAAAACAGCTCCAGTTGGAAAAACATAAAGACTGAAATGGATACAAACAGGGAACATGTTGAGAATTTGTTGGCGATCCCTGAATAGTAACTGGAAATCATGTGGGAAATCATTTTGGTTTCTGCCTTTTTTGAAGAGCAAATTGAGTGTGAAGATCCTGACATGATTCTCAGAGACATATCGTGATTTTCACTCTGCTCGTTTCTCCTCTCTGGCCCTGTGTGAGCAGCAGAGCTGCACAGCTGCCAGACCAAGAATGAAATGGATCAGCAAGGGCTGCTGGGAATTACAGAGTCGGCTTTAACCTTGTTTATTTATTGGAATTTGTTTTTTGTCAGTGTCAAGGACATCAAATCAGGAGCTGACTTTTTTCCCTGCAGTTTTTGGGGAGGAAACCAAACACCACAGAGAAAAAAATGTTCCAGACAAATGGGTCAGAAATCCACTTTAAACACTGCAGTTGTTGAAAGAATCAATGGTAAAATATACATATGTAAACAGTAAAACAAAAACAAAAACTGTAATTGTGGTCACAGCCTTTTGTTTAGTAACTTAGTTATTTTA